CCATACAGACTCCAAGTACCGTTGAGGTTCTGACAGGTTGGACGTGCCGGGCTTCACTAGTGCAAAGAAATTCTGATGTTCTTCCTTAAAAAAAAAAATCCAGTTCCGGGGCCCCACGCGGCCTCAAATTGTTGTTGTTGTTTTTTTTTGTTACTTGACGCGACATCCCACTCGAGCCTGCAACACCCCTCCCCAACTTTTTTTTTTTTTTGCCGACCCCTCATTTTCGGGGTGCGCCGCACCCCGTGCGCACGCGTCGTGCGCGGTGTGCGCTGCGGCGCACGTGCGGGATGCCGCGCACCTCGATGCGCCGCAAGTATGCTAGAAACGCAATACAAAGAACTTTTGCCTGAGGGCCATGTCCAAATTCCTAGTCAAAACGCCAAAAAAAAAAAGAAAAAAAAGTTGTACGGCATACATACAACCACACGTGGTGCTCGCAGTCGTGGACGAGCGGCGCACAACCTGCTTAGGGTTTAGGGTTTTCGCCTTAAGCCGCCAGTACCTTTCCCACATGTCGGCTGTGGCGGCCGTGCGCCAAGCTTCTTCGATGTACCTGGCCTCCGCCACTGGCCGCATAGGCCCTCCGTGTTGACCGCCGCACCTTTTTTTCATAGCGGGGAAAAAGGTACTGGCGGTTTAAATTCTGTGAAACTTTAGCTTGCAAAGAGTGTAGGGTTTTGGGAAAAAAAACAAAAAAAGCAGTGATGTGCACTAGCAGCTACTAGTGGCCAACTAAATCCTGCACTGGAACAAAACAAAGCGTTTTAAGGTTTATGCCTTCAGGGATTGGAAAAATATCACTAGAATACTAGTGCGAGGCTCATGCCCCTATGAGCCCCATTTTGGCCCTGCCAAGTATCACGTCGGCCACCCTAGGTGAAGGCAGGAACGACGAGGGCCTGAGAGCCCCTATTTCGGTCACCACGCAACTCAAGGAAATTCAGGCAGTTGCGCAGCGCCAGTTGGTTGAGAAAAGCCAGGCCCTGGGCCGCCTGTGTGAATGTATGGAAAGCAGGCCCTGGGCTGGATACGGGTACTGGGCCAAACACAGGCCGAAGGCAGAACCACCTCAGACCCAAGGCCTGTTTTCATTCGTGCTGGGCCTCAGGCCACCGGGGCCTACTGGAAGCTTCCTGGGACTGAACGCAGGCAGGCCACTTCGATATAGCAAAGGGCCTGCCTCCACATTGGGCATTCGGGTGCTGGCTGCATGCTGCGCAAGCGCTGCCGCGCTGTAGCTCGCTGGCACTCACGCGCTCACGGGCGAGCAGGAAGGAGCAGGCAGCCATAGCCGAGCTGCGCTGCTGTATGCTGGGTGTGGCGCAGGGTGGTCCTTGGGTGCAAGTGGCATCTGTGTGTTGGGGAACGAGGTTGTGAGTGAGGCGAGAGACATACCTGGTGCTGGAAGTGTGCGACATTGGTCGCTGTATGCTCGTACTTCGGGAAAGCTGTTGTCATCATCATTTGGCATTGTAGTCTAGGCTAGATAGGATCTGCCATCTGTAGTCTGGGCGCCGAGCGCCAGATAGGATATCAACATTGGTTCTTCGTTGATGATGACGATGAGACTTTACCAGCATTGTCAATTATGAGCTCTTGGTGTGTTCTTATTTGGTGAAACTCGTGATGCAATTCTGCTGTTGGTTCGAGGTCACGACTATCTGGTCTTGTGTATATGATGCTGTTTGATTGCTGAAGTTCGCTATTGCTCATCTTCCTTGCACTAGCAACAGGTACTACCGTCTTCACCCGAATAGAACAACCGGTCATTATAGCTGAATTTGGGGTGATTTTCAGTCCAGACGCAGCCATAATGACTGGGTGTTCTATTCGCGTGAAGACGGTAACAGGTACTGGTGGCCAAATCCCTCCTACAGTCTTCCTCGAATAGAACATACAGCCGCTGTAGATGTATGCATGGCAACTTTCAGTTAGGTTCAGCCATAATGCCTGTACGTTCTCTATGGGTGAAGACGGTAGGGAAGGGAAACAGACATATGGAGGTATAGAGGGGGGATTTGTTAGCAAATGAGTAGATTTGGTACCGTGCCGGTGCTGCTGAGCCTACTTCCCAATGGTCCGGGGTTCAAGGCCTGACTCGTGATGACCACCACCCAATATCAAGAACGTACAAGTGGTTAGCGGGGACCCCCACTTTTCAGCTCTTGGGCAACGGGTCCAAAACTGAAATTATTTGCGAGTGCTATTTTATGTTTTCTTGATTTTTTTTTTGCCTCTTATGTTTTGGTTAAAGGTTGCTGAGTGCCAAATTTGGTGTCCTTCCCAACAATTCGTAGAGTGGACACCACTGCAATGACTCGTTCCAACCCGGATCAAAACGACGACTCAACAGCAAGATTCACCCGATACGAGCACACACAGAACTTAATTACAACTTGAAATGTTATGCACAGGTTCTTCAAGATGGCGGTCATAGCCGCCAGCAACAACAACGACCAGGTAAGTCTCTCTCTCTCTCTCTCTCTCTCTCTCTCTCTCTCTCTCTCTCTCTCTCTCTCTCTCTCTCT